GCTGAAAGGGATCGAGGTTACCATAATTTAGTAAAAACATTAGTCTGACACTGCCTCAGTGAAGAACTTTTTTGTACATAAATTGTTATATTATTCATGTCAAAAGACAGTCGCAGAAGAGAAGTTTCAGAGAAGTGTGATTTTCTAGGTTGCCACAGGTTGAGTATATGGGTAAATGCAGACCATACTTCCATATCCACGTCCACACTCTAAATTTTATGGGAATGAGAAGGTTAAATTTGAAAAAGCATGGCCGCAGTTTTGTGTCAAATCAATATGAAGTCAGACTTTGAAACTATTTCTAAACGTCTCAATATCAAGATACAAGAATAATTGGCTGAATCAAATGCAAGAATTACCTTTTTTATTCCATTAAATGATAAATAGTTACTGTAGAGAAGATCCTTATAGGGTGTAGTATTGATGATTTTTTCCCTGATGTGCTAGATAGATTTAGCTCACACTTAATCAAAATGTTTCTTTTGAATATTCTTCAGTGTCAACTATTTTACCGCAAAAACATTTTTAATTCTAATACTTTTTGATGCTCATTAGACGATTAATGGCATTGAATATAAAATATTTTTATTTTATATCTCTTCAAAACTCTGCTTCATGGCTCTAGTTTGAAATACTTTCTACGACATAAAAATGTTTCAAGAACTTATACTAAAATATATGAGATGTCAAATATTATGAAATATGTGCACGAAGAACAAATTTAACCATATCTAAATTGGCCCAGTTCATATTAATCAACACAGGAAGTACTTCACGCGAATATACCAATATTCATTTTCCAGTCTATTTTGACCCATTAGACAAGGATCAGATTGTAGCCAACATGTGAAGTGTGAGTGTGAGTGTAGCGAAAATGTCTCCCACCTGCATCCACACCCTAGAAATAGGCAAACATCGAGAGAGATCAACGATAGTTTTCTTCACTTTCAGCGACTCATTGATGTTCTCCTGTGCATGGAAACAAAAACGAACGAGAGAATCGAATTTATCCAATATTGTCGCCGGTTATATGATGGAGATGATGCAAAAATGTCCATTATGGATAGTTTTGAAAAAACTTACAAAAAAGAAGATGCTCTTGTTTGGTCGGCTTACACTCACTGTGTGGGTGTGGGGTGTGCGTGTAAGTGTCGGTATAAAGAAAGAGATCACCCACACCTACACTCACACCCAGAACAATGAAGAACAAGACCGATATAGCAGCGGTGAGCTAAAGAAGATTGTCTTTTCGTGTTCGGTGGATGAACTGGGCAAGTATGGTTATGTGTTGCACAAAGTAGAATACGCATTCGATTGACTGTAGCCAAACGAGAAGATCCTCTACCTGAGCAAATCAATTCATTTGTTGTCAACATTTGCTTGCGACATAAGCACATGTGAACGAAAGTGTATTGGTATACATTAGAACATGAAGTAGATGAAGACCAACCGAAAAAATTGATCGTACAAAATTGCGACAAGTTCATCGAGTCCATGATCGACTGCAGTTGAGAATGGTGTAAAGCCTATTCGATAAAACTGTTAAAATCATTGGCAGATAGAATGCAATCCATCGATAAGTAGGTGGTCAGAGAAAAAATGCACATGCAAAATGGAGAACGAATCTTGCAGAAAACATATGTTTCAACAAATGAGCAGAGAGGATAAAATGAAAGAAAATTTGCCATGTTGAATGATTATTACAATTCTTCTGTTTCTGTTCTGTTTGACTCCTTTGTAACGGAATTCGAAAGAGAGTGAAAATGTGCAGAAGAAAAAAAATGTAGGAATACTTTGATCTGATTGGAAGAAAAGTTTCGTTTGATCGAAGTCATCACAGTGAATTTTCAACATCGCGATATATGCAAGATTCTTTTCTAAGTAGACACATATTTGTTTTTCTCAACTCAAATTTACAATATATTTGTGTTTAAAATATTGACAGAAACGAACTTATCCACTCAGTCAAATGGCACAAACCATAGAGCAGCAATTCCACCATGCGAGGCCAAAACAAAAACATGATTGCTGTTTTGAGCGGCAGCTAAATGTACATGCGACAAATATGTATAATCGAGAAATGAAAATTGATCAGTTTCTACAGCTGGGAACGAACGTTCATACGTTGCATAATTAAATCCTTTTGTTTCTTTAGCCAATTGTTCAATATTCACAAGATAATATGAAATCGGATTTTCTTGTGAAATTGAACTTTGTAGTGTTTGAACACAATCATGTAAAAGAGAATCGGAATTTGAACAAGATGCTTCTTCATTTGGCAGATGTTCAATCAAAATCGAAAATGAGATGATTATAAAAGCGAATCAAATTGCGAATTTTTTGAAACTTATAAGCATTCAAACCAATTTCACAAAGACAAAGCGGACCAATAAAATGATCTTTGATAGGTATCATTCGAAATAGGCTTGCGTCCGAGTCTTGTTTCATCAAATGTTCACGACACTTTAATGCCGGATCATTTGCTAATTGAAAATAATCTGAATCAAAATCGTGATCAACAAGTTTATTCTTCTAATTGAACAAAGAATGTTGTTATTGATAAAATCGAATGTGTGATTTATCCAATTGCTCATCGTCGCTAGTTTTCAAAACTTCCTTCCAAGTCAAACGAATTCGAACGTCTTATTGTGGAATGAGAGCTGGGTATGGTCATCAGAAGTGAACCAAACATGTAAACCAAAGGCAATAGGATCACTTCATATAGAAGTTACGAACTAATCAAATAAAAAGTCCATATAATATAGCACTCCAAACGACGCGTTTCTATTTTTATCAACTCAATTGAAATATATAAATGAAATAGAGCTAACATTAAAGAAAAGAAAACTACTTTAGAACTAATTATCATTCCCGTATTTTTTTCTCGCATAATAATCTTCAGTTAGTTTTTATTGAAATATTTTGAGCATTATTATATTACTTGAAGATTAAAAATTAGTTTTTTTTTAATAAATTTTAAAAGAAAAAGTTGATTTTTCTTGATAAAGTAAAGATTAATCAAAGGATCAATACGATTTTGTGAACTCTTTGCTTCAGTACACTCTCCATTATACACAAAACGTTTAATAAGACAACTTAATCTTTTTTATTCGTTTTCCTAATGACTATCCTGCATTTTGTTCATTAAAAATATCAGTACACGGAATCAATGTAATCTGATTCTCACAAAAACCAGTAAAATAATAAAAGAAAAAGAAGAGAAATCAGAATTTGATAATTAATAAACTATTCAATACAAGAAGAAGAAGAAGAAGAAATATTTTTCTTCAAACTTAAATCTACTTATTCTTTATTTTTAAGATGGAAAATGATCATAATCTTTGCTTCTTCTAAATAAAATCTAAAAAGAAAGAAAATTGAACTCTAAACATTTTTGTTTTTGAATTCTCATTTTATTTCGATTTTCATAAATAAACAAAAACTAATATCAAATATTTATTTCTATTTTTTCTATTCATTGAAAAATTTTCTTTTCAAGTAATTTTTTGCCACAAAAAATTAATTTCCATTCAAAAGCAAGAAAAATAATTAAATCAATTTGATTCTTATTTTTAATTAAAACATTTCTTAAAGCAAAAATTTTAATTAGATTTTCGTTTTCTTTTTAAATATTTGATAGATAATAAAATTCTTATTCTTTTACTTTGAAAATCTGAAAAATCATCATTCAGATAGAAAAACCAAATTTTATTTACAATTAAATTGTTAAAATAAATTCTAACCGAAAAGATCTAAATAACAAACTAAAGCGTATTCTTGATCAATGGAATAATTTGAAACAAACAAACAATGTTGATAATATTTCTATTGATGATTCATTAAATTCATGTAATTCTATACCGAGTTTTGAAACATTTTTAGAATTAGTCATTCAATTTGGTTATATTATATTTTTATCAACATTATTTCCTCTTGCAGCATGTTTTTCCTTTATTAAGTAATATACCTGAAATCTATGCTGATGAATTTAAACTATGTATGATATATGAACGACCTTTTTCATAACTTGCTAAAGATATTGGTCATTGACAAGTAAAGAAAAAAATTTTTTTTTTTAAACAAGAACACAAGATTTCACTGCTTTTTTTGTCTCTATAAGAAAATTATGGAATACATAGTGTTTGTAGATATTATTGTTAACTGTATTTTTTGTTCAATACCTGGAGTTTTCAGATGAATGTTACCAGATCTTTCATTTTCTGCAGAATTTTTTTTTCACTTGTTTGTAGTGAAGTGAGTATTTTATTTTATTTTTCATTTGATTTAAGTTTCTTTGTTTTTAGCATATTCTTATATTATTTTGTAAAATAATTCAATCAAGTATTGAAAGTGATCCTTATTGAATTCGAATTGAAAGAGCGAAAATGGAATATCGTCGATGTGTAGCACTCATAGTAAGATAAAACAAAATGTTCTTGTTTGCCTTACATGATTGAATATTTTGTTTTTTAGAAACTCGAATGTGATGCTTCACATCTAAAAGAAAGCCGCCATGCTCAACTACATACAATGTAAAATGTAAATATTTTAAAGTATCTACAAGTCATATACATAATCATGTCCAATTTGGGTGTGAGTACGGAATCGTGTTATCTGAACCTACATTCATACCAACATCAACCAACACTTGCACACGCACACTCATACCCATACCCCACACCTACTCACGTCAACACCCCTCCACACTCACATCCTTGAATGCAGAAGAATCTTTTCTTCTATCATTCAGAACAAAAGAGTCGGAGAATTCATTAGATTCATGCAACTTGTTTTAATTAGTTGATTTTCAATCATTGAAAGAATTGAGAAGTGGAAGAAAGCAAATATTACTTTGACCACGAAGAAACTTTATAATTAGTATATAAAAAGAATAAGTACAAGAAACTACAGTAGTTCAGAGTTCATAAGTGAATTTTGGGGCGTATAGTTTTATGAAATTGAGATACCTTGCAAGGTTTTATTTAGTATTTCACATAACACTAAAATCCTAAAGTAATACTAACGAATTGCTCAGATTGATTTAATTTATTTTGGTTTTGTACTACTTGACTAACATCATCCTTAACACCAGCATCAACGTTCTTCAGTATGTAAAGGTACCAATATGCAATACCAACAAAAAATGCTCCGCCAATAATATTTCCAAGTGTTACAGGTATCATAACACATGAAATATATTTTCCAACGGATAAATTAGCACCAAGCATCATACCCACTTGAACTAGAAACATATTGGCAATAGAGTGTTCATATCTAACAGCTACGAAAAGCCAGATAGGCAGAAAAATACCGATTATTTTTGAATGTAAGTCACGTCCGGTTATACCGAGCAATATTGCTAGACATACAAGCCAATTACCACCAATACCTCTTAAAAACATTTGATGCCATGGAATGTTACCTTTTACTGTCGCAATTTGTACAGCAAATGAGCGATAAGGATCATCAGAGATAACACCTGCATAGTAAACAAGTATACTATGGTAAAACAGACAGCCAGCAAGATTTCCAAAGTACGAAACTACCCATGAAATGATAAGATCAAACCATGTTGTTTTTTTATGTAATGTTGATATCATTAATGTCATTGTATTACCAGTAAATAAATCAGCACCAGTCATAACAATCAAAATTAGGCCAATAGGAAATACAGCAGCTTGTATCATTCTTTGTATCCCAGGACCAAGACTCTGAGCCAGTGGAGCACTTCCACCACCAACAATGATGAGAAACAGACCGCTGAATGATAGTAAAACACCAGCTAAAAATGATTTAATAATTGTATGATCGATTCTCTGTTTTGATTTTTGAACTCCAATTGCTGATATCAGCTCAATGGTATCATAAACATTGCGGGCATCGCACATTGTTATAGGAATTGATATTTTTTTTTTGTCAGTTTGATATCTAGCAAGATATATTATAATAGCATATTTTATTTAAAGAAGGTTGAACAGTCATATCTATCTAATGGAAGAACAGTTGAAAATCGACATAGAGAGAAAATGAAGTGTAGAACTGCAACAAACATTGTGATTTGGACTAATCACATTGCATTTATCTATTGATATTTCGATAAATATTCTTTTGTTATCATCAGAATAAAGAATGACTATCATTTCCCACAAATCGTAATTCCCTCAATGGATCCCTAAATCAAGTCCACATTTGCGGACAATGAAACAATCAATCAACTGTGGTGACCAAATATGGACTTTAATTTAGGAATTTTTTAAGTAAAATATAACTATACCTAATTTCAGATGTGGTACTTCCTGACTGAGGAACGGAACTGGTTCAATCATTCAGTTTCACTCAAAAGTATTGGAGTTAACAACTAATTCTTTTCAGAAGAACTGGATAATCGACCTATAGTAGTTTCGTTTCTCCTTGAGTAACTATTACATGTCTTAGTATGTCTAGCCATATCTTATATAAAAAATCTGTAAATTAAAAAGTCCCTAAATTAAAGTTCCGATTTGGTCATTACAGTTGATTAATTGTCTAATTATTCATAAATGTGGATCTGATTTAGGGATCGATTCCGGGAACCACAATTTGTAGGAAATGATAACCTACCGAAGTTTTTATTCATACGGAGCAACTTTACAAAAAAAAAACGTTAAAAGATATCACTTTTGACTGAAATATAGAAAATACGTTTTTTTCAAATTTCACTGAAAAACAGTGTGTATCGATGGGTTTTTCGATCATTTCAATTTTTGCAATATTTTATGCTTTTTTTTTCTATCTCACAAGAAGATGATTGAGGCTTCATTATGATACAGAATGTTTTTAATGCGAATATTTTTTTTTTTTGAAAGAGAATAAAATAAAAGACGCTTCAGATTTCACTGTTGATCAAATCTTTTCAATTTCTTTCTTTCTATACTAATTTTTCTAAGACATTCTAGAAGTCAAAAAAATGTTAAATTTATTTTTATTTCTAGATCTATATATATGCATTGTTTACACTATAGGATAGAAATTTCTTATATACATAAATATCAACTTGATGTAATCATTATCATCCAATGCATTTAAATATAGGTCAAGGTGAATGATGATTCAGCATCATTAGCAACAAATACAGATATAAAAAATTAACATTCTAAATAGATTAGATCGTGATATTAATAGAAGCAGAAGATATATTTTTCGGTGTTATAGCTCTTCTTTATTTGTATTTACATAAATAGAAATACTTTGAAACTCTTAAAATTGTTCATATGAACTTAAAAATTTCTTTGTATTTTTATAGTTCATGTTTTCTTGTAATAGTTTTTAACAGAACTTAATTCGTTGTATATGGTCAGATAAATATTTTCCACTATCGAATATAAAGTAAATAGTAGGATTTTGACTGAAAATATTGGAAATTTTAATTATTACTATGAAAAATGTAATTAACAGAAACAAAGATCAGTAAAAACTATCACAAATAATCAGATATCAAATTCAAGATATTGAATATCTCTGTACACAAGATCTTACAAATCTGAACCTAAGATCTAATTATAGATCTTGATACAAGATAATATGATTAACTTGTACCTAAATTTTCAAGATCTGTTAACATTTCTGTATCTTGTATCTTGACCAAGTTCTTGCTGACAAGATATTTGACTAAAGTTTCAGTTCTTCTTTCGAACGATGAAAATCGCAGCTCTCTATCTTGTTTTCATGAAAATTTATTCAAAAAATATCCATTAAATAGAGGTTAATATAACAGTCAGATATAATAGAAAAACAGATCTTCTAGAAATTTTTATTATTATAATATTAGTTGAAATATGATCAAATAGCATAGAAAAATAGAACATTCTTTTCTCTATCAGACTATATATATAGAGAGAGTTTCTTAAAGCTTACTGTATGATATTAAAATGTCACTCGTACTACTTTTGGACTGACCTAAGTAAGTATTGCAAAGTTTATTCTGTTTGATATGGTTTTTAGCAAATCTATTTTACATGTAAGAACTACTTTAATCAAAACTATCAATTGTATACGTTGAGTATGCTTAATCTGAGCTTTCTTGAAATAACTTTCTGTTACTTAAAACAGCTCATTTCCATGTTCCATCGTTTTTTGTCATTTGTAACTATTCTAGACTTTCAACTTTAGTTTTATTGTTAGAGTCTACCAATGTTAGAAATTAAATGTGCTTACCAACGGATTGATATTGGAGCGTATGATTTTTGTTTTGTGTGCTTTCGTCCTACTTTCTTTCGTATTTATCGTTGAAGAAATTATCATGGATTTTTTTTCTCCAACATAGATATGTTTACCTGAATCAATGGACCATGACACTGTCAGTCAATAGATAATGTCTTTTCCATAAATAAACTCGACGTCGCATGTATTATGTTCTTTCAATACTAGTATTGTTTTCTTTTTTGTGTTGCATATTTTTAGAATGAAAAAAAATGTAATTACATTGACAATTGCATTTAGATGCACATTACATATAAATATTCAAATTACTTTATGAATCACCGAAATAATAGTAGTCTTTTGATTTCAAATATGAGAAAGGCTGGTAAATCATTGTTATATGTTGGATTTTTATATGAAAATGACTCGTTCGATTGTCTGTCTAAGAATCTGTTTTCTATGAAGAACTAATCGATAGAATTTCATTTTCTAATTCAATGACAAATGTTCATTATTTGAAACTATCTAAGAATAGCATGAAAATCATATATATATAAACAATACGTCGCATGTCAGGTTTATCTGACTATGGATGTTCATCTTTGAAACTCGTACGTTCAAAGAAAATCATCTGATTAATATCAATATGAGTCACATATTGCATTAGATTCAGTTTAGGAAAGATCAGCAACAATCTTTATAATGTTGATTATGGTGATGTACTTATGTTTATTTTACTCCTTTCTTATACCAGAATTATATATAATTGTATTCATAGTAATATCAGCATGGTTTGATAACAATACGTACAATCGAAAACTTCAATAAAATCAGAGCATGAAAATAAAAATGACAATCTTCCGATTAGATTATATCAAGTGACTGCAAGATCAACCAGCCATTGGCAACACATGATACAATCTAACTGAAATAGATCTATACGTTGTTCGGAATGTGTCCATGAATATTCTACTGATCAGCACTTATGTCCACAGTCATACCCAATATTATTATCAATCTACAATAAGCATATTCCATTTATATATAATTGTTAGTTCGTTCTGATCATTATGCCAAGCGAATACATCAATAATTTCAATTGAGAAAACGATATTTTTTGTTTTAAAAGTAATTTGATATTTTGTTTTTTTCTTTTGCAAGCTGCATCTCATTTAGAAATATAGATGAAATATATATTTTAAAGTCTAATACAATAGCTGAAAAACAAAGTTTATAAAATAATTGTTTTTTTGGAAAATTTATTTATTAACATCTGATAAATAAGATGAGAGAAAATCAATATATTTCAAAATATAAAAGTAAAATACTTCATTGGAAATCGTAGTGAATAGACATTTCGATGAAGAAATGTATTATCTATATAAGATTACTACAATATTTACAAAGAATATGAATTCACATTAAACTATTAAATATGTAAGATAATCAAGATCATAAACAATTGCATTTGTCATCTCATACTTTTCTTTTCTTTCTTTCTTTCGTACTTGTACACTTCATTTCTTTATACTGTTTTTTTTTACAATTAAAATTAATAAATAGAATTCTATGAAAATAATGAAGTCAATGACTAGTCTTGTAATTCATATACCAGTGGTGGTAGCAGCAGCGAGAGTGAGTTCGATTTCTATTGCAATGAACTAGTCGATAACTTTGATGAACTTGAATTTTCTGATGAAGATTTGAATGTATATGTAGAAGAGTTGAATTCAATAAAAAAATTCGATCCTCAAAGGATTAAAAAGAAAAAGAACTTTCGTAGGAATTAAATAACTTTTTAAACATAAGTTAAATATTGATTGAAATAAATAATATATTGAAAACATGAATAATTATGTTAGGTTGAAAAAAAAAACCATTATTTCACATCAGAATTGATGAACTTCATAGTCAAAAACAAAAAATAAAAGTATTTAAAAAAATTGCGAAAACAATGACAAGAAGTTTGAACTATGATCTATACTTTTAAATGGGAAACGATGATTTTATAAAAAAAAAAAAACAACAATAAACTACAATGAAAGTTAATATTTTTAAATATTGAAATAAGATTATCAAAAATAAATACATAATCAGTCTTAATTAAATCGTACCTTATTTTATATTTATAAAATAAAATTATTTATTGCAAAAATTTAATCATCAATATTTCGAGTAAAAAAGAAAACACCAGGTGAATCAAAAGAATTGACTAGTACAATCATACTAGATCATGAAAGTAAATCCTATGAAGATTTAAATCCATAAAAATCACATCATACAGCTGGATTTCGTATTGATTCATCTGTATCTGAACCAGAAGCTCTAGAATAATATTATCAAGAAATTGTTAAATTAAATCAATCAATTCTTTTTTCTTACATAGACAGAAAATTTGCTGCTATAGTAGCTGCAATTCCACCAGCTAAATACAATAGTGTTGCATTATTTTCTTCATTTGTCGCCATTGTCTTTTTTAAACTCTAAGGATTTGCCATGATTGATTATAATTATTATAGAATAGTACTTGTATAAGATGCATGAAAATTAGCAAACATTTTCGAAGCACATATTATTAATGTATTACATAAACAAAAATAATCTTTTTTTAAAATTGGACGATCATATAATGGAGAATTATCTGTAAATAGAAACAAAAAAAAATAAATGATTGATCAAATGAAAATGAAAAAAAAAACTTTTAATTTTCTTTTCAATTGAAAGTTTTTGTTGATTTTCAAAAGTTGTTTTAAAACAATCATTTGTTAAAATATTGAGAGCTTTATAATGTTGAATAGCATTAGTAGTCGTACAAATAGCAGATAATATTTTATTTGATAACATTTAAACAGATAGAAAATGAAGAGAAAAACAAAATCTAGAGAAAAGTATTGACAAAATCATTGGCTTATACATTAATTATTTAATTTCTCTACCTAAACTACAATCACCCTCAGGTGTCCCTATTCAACATATTATTACATTCTTTCATTCTCTTCTTTTTTAACAACCTGTGATAATAACTGAAGTATGCTATTTATATTCGTACAATAGATGCATTTACACATGTTAATTATTCACAGGCAATCCAGTTAATGTTTGTATCTCATGTCGAGGTATGCCTTCATCAACAAATCTTGATGTTTTTCTTTCAAAAAATAGCTACTGAAATAAATATATCTGAAACAGGTTTTTATTATAAAAGCAAATAATTCACGTTATTTTCTTCAATAGTTTGCTCCGACAAATGAAGTTGATTTCATCAGCTACTGTACATTTTCTTTTTGAACAATTTATTCAAAATAAATCTATTGATGAATTAATTTTTAAAACAAAAAAAAAAAAAGACATCTGGTGAATCAAAAGTTAAAAAACGTGATAATCAAGATCATTGACAATTTGATTTTTCTATGGATAATTCACAAGCAATTCGAACTTGATAATCATATATTGAATTAAATATGTAAATGAACAAAAAAAAAAACTTTTTATTCAACTTTCTTCAATTGATGATAATATGAAACTACAATAAAATCTTACCGAAATTAATTTTGATCAATCAATACATCCATTTATATGTGAAATTATTCTTACAAATAAATCAATAATAACAACATATTTTCTTATCTCAAATAATATAAAAATATGTTGGAATAACAGTTCGTTGTCGAAAATATTGTGAAATTAAATAAAAATCATACCATTGTTGATTTGTTATTTTATGATAATTTTATTGCAATTTTTGGACTCTAGAAAAAAAAAACTCAAAACAAAAGAATTTGATTTGTTTTTTATTAGATTATAATCAGCAGAGATTTTTGAAAATAAGTTCAAAATATTTTTTTTGTAAATCATTTTCAATAAAATAAATTAATTTATAATTAACAAGATTTTCTCAATAGATAATCATAATAAATTATTGAAATATATTTTTTTTTTACTTCTTTCAAACATTTGAATTATTAATTTTATGATATTCTTTAAATATATCTAAATAAATAAATTTAATAATTCAATCTTTATTATTTGTTTATTGACACTTTGAAGAGAATTTTCAATTCCAAGAATAAGATCTTGAAAATTTTTTTAAACAAATAAAATCACGTACAAGATGAATTTATTGAAACAAAAAAAAACGTATCAAATATGTGAATAAGAAATAATATCAATAATCATTTAAGTTTTCGACTTAAAAAAAAGATATATATATATGTGTCAGGCAGAATTAAACATAGTTTTAAAATATCTTAATTAAAATTTAAATGAACAAAAATGAAGGTAAATGTTAGTGCATCAAATCAATATTCAGTTGGGTTTTGGAAGATGTAGAGTTCGCTCGTATATCCTATTATTATTTAGTTGAGTTTTAGAAGATGTAGAGTTTGCTAACGTATTCTATTGATATTCAATTGAGTTTTGGAAGATATAGAGTTCTCACGTGTATGTTATTGATATTTCCCTAAGTTGAGTAAAATAGAAAGACAGAATTAGTAAACGATATTGTTTGTCTGAATATAAATCAGATTTTATTTTTTAATGAAGTTGTTAATGTTCTTTTGTCTTTGTCCGAGCATAAAACGAGAGGGAGCATGAGGATGGATTGCTAAGGTACTGATTATATTTATTACAGAATTTTGTTTCAAATCTGTATTCATATCCTTCAAAAAAAATTCTGTAATAAATATAATCAGTACCTTAACAAAACATTCTCTTCTTCTTTGTTTTTAGTCATGCTTACCGAAAACACACATCCGACCAAAAAAAAAGAAGGTGAAGGAGAAAGAGTGGATTATTAAAGTGCCATTATATCTATTTCAGATATACTTTATATACTTTGAAAGTAAGATTTTGATTATTATACAGTGTAAATTTAAATTAAGCAAAATCGTCTGTTATAACAATATCATTATCATTAGCGATGTTAAAGTGTTGCATAGAAAAATCTTAGAAAAATAAATGATATAAAAATATATATTTCAGTTGTAGAAACATACGCGTTAATGTTATGAGATTTTTGTATGATAAGACTACAACGTAAATGTTGATTTTATTGAAAAATTCTAATGATAGAACTTTTTAAGAAATTAAATGTGTTTGAATTTAATAGAAACAAAAAATATAATAAGGAAAAAAAATATACGAATATATCTGTAATAGTAGAGTCTTTTGTTTAATAAAGGTTGTAACATAATCTTACAGAATGATAAAAATAGAGCCTATAGTCATGCGAACCAATGATTGAATACCAATTTTTTTATTGTAAATGAAATTTATGTAAATATTTTTTTTGTTGAGAGAAATAGAAAGAGTTAAAATTTATTAATTAAATTGCGATGCCATATTTTTCTTTTGTTGCTAATGAGACTTGGCATTCATTAATTAAATAAATTCTGTATTCTACTGCCTTTCTTTATTGATAGAGACAGTGAGACTTTCACTAGTTATATTATATACATCATACCTTTTTTTTATTCATAATACGAGTTAAAATTTATTAAACTAGTTTCGTACTGTCGCGCCTAATTAAAACAAATTCTGCCTAAGTTTAATTTTGTCTAAAAGTTCAATTTTGCCTGTAACACATACATTTGAGAATATTAAATATTCATTTCAAATTGAATACATAGATTCCAAAATGTATTTATAAAAGATTCAACAAGTTTATATTTCATGTTAAGAATAGAATATTAATCCTTTATGTAAATTTTTAGCTAATAGATGAGTAACTGAACGACTTTCATGACTTAAATCTATTTAAGAGCTAGTGCCTGAGAAAATCAGACACTCTTAGCATTTCGACGATGGAGTGACATCTCAGATTTCGATGATTTTTTGATATTTTATAGATAGTAGTGAAACTAGTACTACCTGAAATTTTCAGCTCAATTGAATAACATTTTCCAATACAAACAATCGAAATACTAACGGAATTTTTGATAATTTTTTAAATCAATTTTGAGATGGTCTTTTTTAGTAAAAGTGACTTTTGTACTTCAATATATAAGACTTTTGAATTCTCGTTTTTCTAACTATAACTATTGAGCTACTCTCCTTCTACATACAGAGATTCAAAAGTTTTCCTGAATCCTACAAGTACTTCTGAAATACCCAAAAATAATCTAATTCGTAGTTTTTCTTCCAAAATGTCGGTCAGTCGCATTTTATGCGGAAACAAGTAATCACTCTGATATTTCTACTGGTGATAGAGCATATCAAGTTCTATCACTTAGACTACCTTACAGTTTTGGTCCTCAAGATAAATACTGCACTTTTGATTAAAAGTCAGTTTTTTCTGCAATTCATGTTATATAATCAATTTAGGGTTATTTTTGCGGGTAAATGCGGTAATATCCAATAGTAAACTCTTTTAGTGGCATATGTATTATTGTTGATTATTTATTGATATAAATAACAAGAAAATTTAATAAATAATAGTTTATCAATTTATCATGATATATTTAGAAATGAATTAATCTTAATTTTTCACCTTTATATGGATAATATGAATATATTTCATATATCTATAATAAGATATGTTTACAAATGAATGTGTTTCAAGATTTTTATCTATATCTCGTCATTGATAACGCAGATTATATATTATATATATGCAATAATCAGAATTATAATGAAATTCAAAATAGCGTACACCGCAGCTCTTCCAGAACTTTGTAGTAGAATATTCAAGAACTGTAAAAAGAAATTTTTCACAAATTTTTGATTTCAATTTTGTTAGGAGTCTTCTTGAGGAATTCAGTAAAATTTATAATATTGAATCCTATATCATCAAAGACGTATTCTCAGATGATTATTGGAGAAGAAAAAGATGTTGCTTGGATTCTTTTCACAAATTCTTTCAATAATGGAGTCTTTTGTGATGAATATAGAATAGAACTATACCCCAATACACAGAAAATAGAAAAATATAACAATGTTTGAGAGCATTCTAAAAAGATAGATTCCTTTCTCTATATATCTATACATGTATATAGGCAAAATCATTTGTTAGCGACGTGATGTCGCAAAATTAAAATACTTATATTTTTCGATAATGAACTTCCCTACAGCTAATTTTTATAAGTAAATATGTATGTTAAGTTACTTTAGATACGCTGAAAAAAATCAGCCTTGAAGGCCTTTGTTTGGAGGGATTTTCACTAAAAAAACCTAGCGTTAGCGACGTGGCACGAAAAAAAGACATCAATTGTCACCCCATGCATTTCAGATAAAAAAAAAATTCGCGAATTGAAGTAATATTTTTAAAAACTAAATGATACATTCTGTACTCGGCTCTTTGGGCTGCAGAATGCCTATCCAAAGTTTTTTCCGAGCATGCCTAGATTTTATAAAACATTGGACTTAGTTGGCGTTAGCGACGTGACACAGTACGAATTGACTATTTTTCATCCTTTCATATCTCTGCAGATGTTCATTCACTTGCTGTGAAGCTTAGTACTCCTACTCTCCAAAGTGTGCTTTTTCCTAAATCACATTAAAAAACTTTTTAATATTTTGTTAAGGTTTCTAGAAAATATGATTATTAAGGAGGGAGGTTTTGACATAATTTTTCTGTTTTAATAAGAAAAATGCAGATAAGTTTCCGTAATGTAGCGACAACTTTAGTAAAACAGGTCTTTTTTTGTTATTGCAACTTCAAAAACGAAAAACAAGCATCAGTTGCTTAAACTTTTATAAACTGGAGACTACAGTCTATAACTACGCTAAACTTTCACAACTTAGCTTCGAATTTCACTGAAAAAAACAAAAATGTCCTATTTTGGCTGATTTTGCCCATATATGTTCTGCTTTCTTTTTTTCGTCTTTTCTTTTCTTCTCTGGAGATTACCAGTATTCCTCTTATACGTGTCTAGGTCATTCTCTTTTTCTTGTCTGTTCTTGAGAATCATTGAAATTTTCATAGTATTTGTTATTCTACTCTTCCTTTGTTTGTTGCGGAGTAGGATAGGTAAACTTTTCTCTTGTATCTTCTCTCTTACATGGAATAGAATGTATTAGTAAAGCGAAGTTTTACTTTTCCATCATATTTTTTTTTTTTTTTTTTTTATTACGCTCTAACTGTGATCAAGAAGATCCTTACAGTACAAAGAGAGAAAAGAAAAAAAAAAATGTTGAATAGAGAGATAATAAGAAAAGGGAATAATGAATGAAAAAGAAATAGGTCACACAGAAACGAAATAAAAAAACAACAAAATACGACCAACAAAGAAAGAACACCAGCGAAAAGAAATGCAAGCGGTAGAAAACAAACGCACATAGCAGTGGACACAAGAGAACATCAGCGATCAATGAAGGAAGACAAGGTCACGTCAGCGTGCGTGGAGAAAAAAAAAAAAACTTAGAGGAATCTTGACTAGAAAGTTTCGGGATATTCTTGGAGAAGTTGAACATCTTCCATCTCGAAGCAGGGGATTGATGAAGAACAAGGAACTGATCTAAGCCAGGAGACAACTTTTTCTAATATAGGGGTACACTCAACGAATCTTCTGGAACGTCTAAGGCCTTTCAAAGGAAATTCGCCCTGGCGCCACAAATTCCTACAAACATTTAGGTTGGCTTTCTCCAGAATCAGTTCCCCGTCGACTGAGTCGGCTAAGGCTACCAAATATTTGTCCCAGTATGAAAAGCATCTATCTTCCAGTGACTTTTCATTCATCGCATATGCAAAAAAATTTTCATTCCAATGCGAAGAAAACATAACTTTACGAAGACATGTGAAGTAAAAATGAGAGAGGTCATTTCTTTGTTTATCAGAGAAGAGTGGGAATAGAGGGTAGATCCATGTAAATAATGGAAGAACGTATGATGCGAATAGGGCACGTCTTAACAGAGGGGAGGAACAGCCAGAAAGTTTAAATGACCTAATTAGCGAGACACGTTGTCTTATTCTTATCATTGTTTTTTGGATCATGTAACTCCAACCTAGTTTGGGGGTGATCCAATAACCTAAATACTTAAACTCTCTGGCCCAATTGATCATCTTTACGTTGTTAGGACCGTAAGAAATATTAAATTTCGGTAGGCCTATAGCACGAGCACTGAATACCGCTTCTGTTTTGGAGAAGTTTATCGGTTGCATGGACAGACATGAATAATATTCAAGCTGATCAAGAAACCGTTTAATACGTTTTTCCAGGTCTAAACATTGCTCGGTAAAACGTACGCCTAGTCGTCCAGCAACTATTGCAGCAAGATCATCTGCGAAAAAGTGACTCGAACACCCCGACAGGAATTGACCCATATCACAATGGTATGTTATAAATAAACTCGGAGTTAGTATTCCGCCTTGAGGACCGCCTTTTTCTATCGAGAACCAACGTGATTTACTACCATTGATTTCTATAAAACCACGTCTATTTCGAAGCCATGCATCTATCCAGGCGAGATACGACGGAGGAATACCTAATCTACGTAATTTTCCTATACACCCAGTGAACCAGAGTTGGTCAAATGCCGACTTAAAATCAACGAAAATGGTGCAAACAGGGGCACTATTCGCCATTAGACTATATATATCTTCTAGGAATAGTAGTAAGCGCGTTTGTAATCTAAAACTGTCTCTAAAGCCTGATTGACTGTCGGGAAGTATTCCTCTTCTGATCAAAACATCCTTGAAACGTGTAAGAAATAGTTTCTCACCAACTTTCTGAAAGGAATCGAGTAGTGAAATTGGCCTCGTTGCAGAGGGAGAGCAGATAGACTCTTTTTTAGCTAGGAGGATTATTCGAGTGTCTTTCCATGCCAAAGGTAGGGTAGCTTTTTGGAAAGAGAGATTATAGAGTTGGAGAAATAGGGACCAGTTCGAAGAGGCTAGAAAACTAAACATAAAGTTTGAGATTCCATGAGCATCCAAAGATTTCTTCCTTCGTTTTGCCTGCACTGTTTCGAGTAGTTCATTTAGAGAAACTTCAGGAATCTTTTCATCTTCATTGTCGAATTGAACCAAGGGTGCATCAGTATAAGGATGTGGTCTTATGACCTCCTGTTGCTTAAAGAAATCTTCGTAATAATTAGCAGCAGCCTCACACATTTCCTCAGGTTTCTTGATGATATTTCCTAATGGGTCAATAAGTGCATGGAGGGAAGAGGAAGAAGGTTTTAGATAACGTTTGGTTTTCGACCAGAATGAAACAGATATCGGCGCAGGTGTATTACGACAGCTAAGCATTGTAGTGAGTTGGAGAGAAAAAAAAGATTTTAATTCTTTTTTCGCAATTTTCCTTAAAAGGGAGACTTTATTTTTTAGCATAGAACTTCTGGTTCTTATTTGTCGAAAGGATAGAGCTCTTACATAAGACAAAAAAGCTCTTAGTTCAGCCGGGATTGCCATGCGATATCTGTCAAACGGAAAAGTAAATGTACAACGAGCCGAAAGAAGATATAGAAACTTAATATAATCATTGTATGCTTCATCAAGGTTACTTTTATGCCATATCCCCTCCCAGAAAGTATATGTATAGTCAGTAAAAAATGCAAATACCTTCCAGTGTGTATTTTTACCCAAAACATTTTCCTTAATTCTCGTTGGGATAACTGAGAGGATGGGAAGATGATCGCTCGTTGTGTTGCCTTTATAAGTTTGGATATTGATGTTAACGCCACTCGCAAAGGCATAATCAATAGCTCTACTAGAACGAAGAGAGGTTGGTGTATCCGGTATAAATGGGGCTAAGTGATTCATATCAGCCCAACACAACAGTTTATCTGCTTTATTACTATCGTGAAATAGGTCAACATTGAAGTCTCCGTAGAGAACACATTTATCTGTAATGATAGGAGACATATCGTCCCACGACCATGATTTGCTCTCGGGAGCATAGACTCCAATAATACGAAGATTTTCTTCAGCTTTAATATCAATCACACAAACATTTGGTAGCCTACAGTCGACTCTGTTGACCAGAATGCCGAATCTAACTAAAACTAATACACCACCATTACGGTTTTCCCCTTTCTGATAGAAGATCGTATAATTCGGGAATGCTTTTTGACATAGTGAAATATCAGTTGAACCTGTTTCGAAAAGGATAAGAAGATCAAACTTAAAAGAGGTCGTAAGCAGAAGGATTTCCTGCCATCTTAGATCAAATCCACGCACGTTGAATGATAGAACATGAAGAGATGAGATAAAAGAAGTATTATCACGAGGTACATAATTTTGCCAAATAGAAAAACATGAAGATAGAAAAGGAGAACTCTCCCATTCCGACAGAATGTTCGAGAATAAAGTATAGTCAAAATGGGATAAACATTCACTAGCTTTTAACAAAAAATTTTCACGTTTACATAGTTTTAATGAGGAGGTACAAGAAAAAAAAGGAAAAGTGTCAGGTGATAAAGTCATTAATTAAAACGGTGTTTACCTTCTCTTGTTTTTCTCATTTGAACAACATAGCGTTCTAATCTACATTTTAAATCGGCATCAAGTGTGTTGCCTTTTTTGTCCTGGTTCTGTACGGCCATCCACGAGAATACCTCTTCCAATATTGGGATAAACAATTTAGTAAAAAAATTTTCATGACGACCAAGTAACATATGATGATTAAGTAAATCTTTTTTAAATTCTTGATCATTAGCTGATAATGTATCAATTTGATGACTAACATGGATATCATGTTTGGCTTTTTCGACCATAAATTTTTCAAATTTATCATATTTTAATGTTAAACTTGCAAGGTGATCTTTGACATCATTTATTTTCCCAATTAGATCATCGAGTTTAGACATCATCGGGTTATTCAATTGTGCTTGTGTAGATGGAAGTGGAGGAAAATTTAATGAATCGAAACGATAATTATTGTTATTATTATTATTTGGTGGTACAGCTGTTGGATTAGTATTTGAAGACAAAAGCTTCCTAGTGAGTTCAGCTCTAAACGATTTGATGACCGGGCACTTCATCGAGTTGGATAGATGATCACCCTTACAATGTTTACAAATAGGACTAGCTGAACATTGATGAGATTTAAGATCAGGAAAAGCTTGTGCACAAGTTTTACACGTTTCATCTTGTTCAGAGCATTGCTTGCGGAAGTGACCAATTCCGCTACATTTTGAGCAGATTAAAACTTGTGCAGGTGAAAGAAATTCAGTAATTTCATAGGAGATATAATTTATCATTAATTTTTTAGCATCAAGCAAATCTTGACGAGCAGAAACAGATGAAAATTCTAATTTGACCATATGAATAACATTTCCGAATTTGTTTTTCATTCGAATTACATTTATTACTTCAGGAATCAGGGATTTTACATCATTTGTAAACTCCTCAAAATCAATTCTAACATTGACGTTCTTGACGATGACAGAAAGCTGAGGAGGAATTGACGGTCGAGAAGGAAACATATAATCTTCACCAGCAATTTTTAATGGCCATTTAGTTTCATCATATAATGAAGCAAAAGAAATAGAGTCCTTAACGTAAAGAAGAATGTCCATATCATCATCAACACATTTTACCTTCGATAAACGACAATTGAGAATTTCAATGTGGGTCTGATGCTTGTCCTTGAAATGGTTTACAACTTCTTCTTTAAATTTATTTAAAGTAATTTGATTTGATTTAAAACGTATAATATAAGGTGGGAATGGAAATCTTGATGTTGCATAACGAGCAGAGGCTGTTGTTACATTTTGATGATCTGGTGGACCACGTTGATTGTTAATGTTGTTAGAATTAATGATTGTACGTGAAGAAATGAATCGAGTTGTATCTGATGGTGATTTATTTGGTGTAACAGACAAATTTTGTTGATGATGAAGTTGTTGACGATTGAATAGATCGATTTGTTTTTTTTTTTTTGACGAGTTATAACTTGAAAATCATCTTCATCAGGGTCACTTGATGGTGAACCACGTTTACTACGAGCAGGAGAATTAATCATGGTTGAATATGACATAAGTGGTGGTGGAGGACGTTGTTGTTGATGATTTGAATCATTAATACAATGAACAATGGATTGTGAATCATCATGTGTAACTGGACAAAGACGTTTATTATTTAAACATGATTTCGACGATTGATCAGTTAGATTATCAATGGAATAACATTTTTGCTGGTGAATATTATGAACCATATTTTTATCAGAATGATAATTAGTCATAAAATGACAAAATTATCAAAATTGAGGAAGGAAAAGGAAAAAAAAAAAAGACAAAGAAAGTGTCACGCGCTTTACGCGTGATGATTCAATAAAATATATGTGTATGAGAAGAAAAGGAAAGAAAGTACGTCCGATCAGTAAATAGATAAACGAACGAATGACTTTTCCATCATATTAGAGCACCATTATACGCAAAATTGAAATTTCAAAATAAAAATACTATTTCCATTAAATGTTTGAAGTATCTTGAAGTAAATATAACAAAAAAGCTCGAATGGAGGAACTTAAATCCAAAATCATTCTTAGGAAACAAGGAAAAAAAATATCCATTCTTTTCAATCAGCTACGAATAAAACTATTATTGACTTATACATTATCACATTTAATCTGATTTCGTTAAGTTGGTTCTTTTTTGTTTTGTAGTACAAAAGAGACTGATTAGACACATCCTATAACCTAGGACTATGCATAAATTATAGTCTCACTTTTTCAGACGATCTTACAGTTTATACTATAGTAAAAAAGTACACAATAAATGACTATGTATCGAAATAGTGGGAGAAATTTGATAAATATCTACAATGGCTTGCAAAAAAACTTGGAACAAATGTTTAGCTTGTATCAGGGACTTGTTCAACTTTTTTCAAGAAAAATATTTCTCTATTAAAAGAATATCACTTGACAGTTTTAGAATATCTGATTCAGGATTTGATTCATCTTCCTTTTAATTCCAGAACTGAGATATATCTGAATATTAGGCTATCAATAAAATTGATTACAATTTTTTAAACATTAATAATTGAAACAATGCAATTAGAGTGAAATTATGCTATTGAAAATAATAAAACTAAACCTTTCACATCAGTATTCGAACGATTCTTCTTGGAGTATCACTTAATTATTTCGTCAAAAGCATGGGACCTGGTTTTAGGCGTTATTCGGTATGAATGATTCGTTTCCAATTATTCGATGCTCGGTATTTTAGAAGTGTTTAGGATCTAAAGCCTTTAAAATCAGGACCTAGTTCTATATAACAGTATCTTCATCTATCGATGGAGTTTTCTAAAAAAGCGAATTCTCATGTTTTAATAATATAATGCAAACGTATCATCCGCTTTAAGTCTATGTACCATTGTTATCTCAGATTAGTATCATACCAGAATAGAAATAGAATCAAATCAAATATATAGATATTATTCGTGGCTAATCTGCTTAGTATAAAGCGGCAATAATTGCAAAACAAAGACTCGATAGAGTTTAGAAAGTACTACATGTTTATATAGTAAGACTCTTCCAAGTTTCTTTGCATACTATTGTTTATATGTATACAATAACAGGTGATGCTCCCTAAAATAATAGAATTTGTGTGTCAAACACAAAGATTTGAAAATAGATATTTGTTAAAAGTTTTTGATGACATCAAAGCTGCTCTTCTTTATTGAACGCTAAATTTTGTTAGTCTTTCCAAGGTATTTTCTCATTGTCAGAAACCTTGAACTATAGCATAAATTGAAAGAACGGGCATTCCTATTTTCACTACTATAGGACAACTTTCATCATTTGTATAGTTCAAATAAACTAAATTCTTATCGACAGAACAAGGCTTTTATACTGTATAAGATAAAAAATCGAACTTTAGTTATTAGTTATATTTTTAATAATTTATATGGTCATCGAATTACATGTGTCAAACTTAAATGAATAAGTTGCTTGATTGTTGAAAAATAGATACTAATTTTGATTGATTTATGTCATTGCAACGAACTGTCTTTCAACGAATTATCCATGCGAAGAATTGTCCTAGGACCATTTTGTAGAACGTGAAAAACTGCATCGATCTATGTAATTAATTTTAACATCCAGATTAAAACACAACAAAAACTATAGACATTACGATTGTCATCCAAAACACTGAATACCTACAAGAGAACCCATAGACCTCAAACTAACGTGATTTTGAAAAAACTGTTTTTCTGTCCAAGAAAAAAGAAAACTGAATTTACCAAAAGGTGTAGAGCTTCAAGCTTTGTCTTTCTATCATATTGGAAATGAAGACTGAGAAGCGATAAATCTACCGTGAAATCCTGCTGTATGCTTTAAATAACTCAAGTTCAGTTAGATTATCAAAAGTAGCTTCATAAGATTTGTATACAACCACAGACAGATCATCTATTGTAACAGGTTTTCGAAAATCGTTCGCAAAATCTGAAAGATATAGATTCGACATAAGTAAACAAAAAGATATCTCTTCAATTGAATAATTCTTAAAATAAGGATGTGCAAGTGAATGTACCTGCGGGTGCAGATGTGTGGCTGCGATATGCATGCGAGTCTATTGGGTACTGTGTATCTCGCTCTCAGTGTTGCTAGGCTGACTGCCTCAGATGCATCCATATCCCATCTCGCACCGACAGCCATATCCACACCCACACTCGCATGCGTCCCATCGCAATAGCAACTCTCAAGTTTTCTAAATACAACTGGAATCTAAAGCATCGCTCTTACAAAACACCCCAACTCTGATTCAATTTTCTCCATCTCAAGAAAAAACCATGAGCATTCCCATCAAAACCAACATCTGAAGAATTTTATTTTTGCAGAAATAAAACATAAAACTACTAAAATCTGTTCTTTAAATTTTCAATGCTTCTTTTCACAAGTACTAAATGAGGATGAGTAGAAGGCACCGACTTTGTCAAAATCTCAAGTGATTTTTCGTATGATGAAAGTGCTTTCGAGTACTCGCCCATGTGAGAATACACCGTACCGATATTGTCGTAGGAATTAGCCAAGTCAGGATGATTCGGAGGGAGAGCTATTTTTCGAATTTCAAGTGATCTTTCTAACGATGCAAGTGCTTTCGAGTACTCGCCCATATTATCATACACCCTAGCTATCCTGTTATAGGAACTAGCCAAGTCGGGATGATTCGGAGGGAGAGATATTTTTTGGATTTCAAGTGATCTTTCTAACGATGAAAGTGCTTTCGAGTACTCGCCCATGCTATAATACACCCCTCCAATGTTGTTGTAGGATTGAGCCAAGTCGGGATGATTCGGAGGGAGAGCTATTTTTCGGATTTCAAGTGATCTTTCTAACGAGGAAAGTGCTTTCGAGTACTCGCCCATGTGATAATACACTGAAGCGATGTTTTTGTAGTAATTAGCCAAATCGGGATGATTCGGAGGAAGAGCTATTTTTTGGATTTCAAGTGATTTTTCGTACGATGAAAGCGCTTTCGGATACTCGCCCATATTATCATACACCATAGCTATTCTGTTATAGGAACTAGCCAAGTCGGGATGATCCAAAGGGAGAGCTATTTTTCGAATTTCAAGTGATCTTTCGTACGATGAAAGTGCTTTCGAGTACTCGCCCATGTTATAATACACCATACCGATGTTGTTGTAGAAATTAGCGAAATCGAGATGATTCGGAGGGAGAGCTATTTTTTGAATTTCAAGTGATCTTTCTAACAATGAACGTGCTTTCGAGTACTCGCCCATGTTATAATACGCCCCTCCGATGTTGTTGTAGGATTGAGCCAAGTCGGGATGATTCGGAGGGAGAGCTATTTTTCGGATTTCAAGTGATCTTTCTAACGAGGAAAGTGCTTTCGAGTACTCGCCCATGTGAGAATACACCATACCGATGTTGTTGTAGGAAGTAGCCAAGCCAGGATGATTTGAAGGGAGAGCTATGGTTTGGATTTCAAGTGATCTTTCTAACAATGAAAGTGCTATCGAGTACTCGCCCATGTGAGAATACACCATACCAATGTTGTTGTACGAATTAACCAAGTGGGGATGATTTGGAGGGAGAGCTATTTTGAAGATTTCAAATGATCTTTCGTACGACGAAAGTGCTTTCGAGTACTCGCCCATGTTATCATACACTGAAGCGATGTTGTTGTAGGAAGCAGCCAAGTCAGGATGATTCGGAGGGAGAGCTATTTTGAAGATTTCAAGTGATCTTTCTAATGATGAAAGTGCTTTCGAGTACTCGCCCATATTATAATACAATGAAGCGATGTTGTTGTAGGAAGCAGCCAAGTCAGGATGATTCGGAAGGAGAGCTATTTTTCGGATTTCAAGTGATCTTTCTAACGATGAAAGTGCTTTCGAATATTCACCGATGTGAGAATACACCAAAGCAATGTTGTTGTACGAATTAGCCAAGCCGGGATGTTTGGGAGGAAGAGCTATTTTGAGAATTTGAAGTGATGTTTCTAACGATGAAAGTGCTTTCGAGTACTCGCCCATGTGAAAATACACTGAAGCGATGTTGTCGTTGGAATTAGCCAAGTGGGGATGATTCGGAGGGAGAGTTATTTTTCGGATTTCAAGTGATTTTTCGTACGATGAAAGTGCTTTCG